CACAACACCAAGAATGAATGGAAGAAGCTTGAGGCCAGAATTGGTTGCTATTTATAAAGTGATTTGATTAAGATATTTTTTTCCGAGTATCCAGAATTACTAATATTGTAATAACTACCGTTATCACCATCGACAACTTGGTAGAATAGCGGAATGAAATAAACGATTGAGAAAAAGGCCATTCCATGGAAAATATTTACAAGCAAATTAACAGTCACGGTGTGATATTTAAACAATCGAACTGAAAAGAAAGAATTCTTCAATGTTAACGAAATCTATATCAAGAAGCATGAACATGCACATGATACTTACTGGGAGCCAAAGGTTCTAAAGCAAAATGAGATTCCACAAACCCGAAAAGGATAAATCCAATCATACCGATGATAAGTAAAATAATAATTAAAGCAGAATTCCATGCATACTCGTTTCCACCCCAGTTTAGCGCGAGCAGAATCAAGACTGTAGAGACAGCGATCATGACAGTTCCCAACCAATCAATGCGTACAAGTTTTTCACGAAAAGATCCAGTAGATTGATGAAGATGAAGAAATAGTAATGACACAATAATTGTTATAGCACCTAAGGGAAGGTTAATGTAAAACGCCCATCTACGAATCCACATAAAATCATGTTATTTTTTGCAAAGTAAAACTAAATTTAAAGAAAAATATATGAAGGTCGAGCTGAAACCTCCATGTGATCTTCTCATTATCTGCGAAAGCTCCACCTAGGACAGGTCCGACCACTTGATTTATAAGAAAAAAGAAGGAAGGTGTGATTTTTTAATTAAAAATTTTAACAATAACAAAAAAATAAATAAATTGGGAGAATAATTTACCCGAAGCTATACCAAAACTTGAATTTTTCAAAATTTGAGTTAAAAACTCGAAAATTATGTACTTTCAAATATTTTTTTAAAATAGTATTACCATCCACCAATCATCCCTAGAGTATATTTAGAATAGACAGTTTTCAATATGGTGCTTAGAATTTAAAGCTAAGCTTGAAGTTATAATATAATATAATTCATGCCTTGGTATTTCCCGCGGTCCTCATGGCTAACAATATCGGATATAATAATAAAAACCAATCTACATAAATTATAGTGATATGGATTTTAGTAAACATGCGTAGAAAATTGATGGGATTAGTAAGAAAAAGATCACGCACCCAATGATACCACCTCCGCCCACACCGGCAACGGCGCGTGAGATAATGATCATTGTCTTTTAAGTAGTATGTATGTTAAACGGGAAGTATGAAATAGTTGAAATAATAAAGATATGCGAATTGAGTTGTGATGAAATTACCATGCTGTTAGAAAGACCGCATAACAAAGATCCAATTTCAAAAATTAGAATTGCCATTAAAAACGTTATTTTCCTTCCGAATATGTCCGAGAGCTTCCCATATGTTGGTTGGAAAGCTGACTAAATTTTTAATAAAGATTAAGCGATTAAATGCATAGAAAGGCGTTCAAAACAAAAAAAGAAGAAAAGAGAAGCTACGCTTATATACTGTACGTACCACTGTGAGTAGATAAGATGTTCCAATCCACGCGATTCTGTCAAGATCTTTAAAGTCGAATGCAATCTTGGGCTAAAATGAAAGTTTGTTTAAAATGGTTTCTTGAAACTCTGCCACACCTATTTGAAAATCAGAGAAAGAATGTCTACAAACCACCACGGTCGCTACTATTGTCTGATCTAATGCAGCCAGAAACATGCCAAAGCAAAGACTGATAAACATTTATGAATTAAAGTTGGAATTCGTGTGGAAAACTTTAAGTAACAAGATACTGTTTTTAATTATGTTTACCCAACAAAAACCAATATAACTTGGGTTTTGGTCATTTCGGCCTTGACATCTTCGTCTTTTGCCTTTTCAAGATCAACACCGTTCACATCACGAACTTCTTGCATACCACTCGTGATTCCCGAGGATTCGTTTGATTTGGTACCCGTTTCGGAAGAAGTGATTGTAGCAACCTCATTGGTCACATATTCTGAGTTTGAATTTTGCGACATTTGAGAATGTTAAAGAAGCATATAACTCTTTGAATTAATTTGTCGACAAAATTTAAAATTCAATTGACAATATCAAAGAAACGTCAAATCCTAAATCTTATAAGGTCAAGAGTCAACCTTACTGTATAGTGAAAAGGGTTATATCATCTTTTATCTATATTTCGAGGGTCAGCAATAATTTTTCCACAAATATATCACATGCAGATTGGAAGAAAACCTTAAATTTAACCGATGCTTTCCTAGTGAAACAATGTGGATGGAAAAAAAAAAATGCTTTGAATTTAGTCGATATTTTTCTAGTGAAACGGTGGTGACAGTGAATGCCATAAACATAGACGAAGTCTGTCCCTAATTTGATCAATGCGGTATGCGCTTAATACGTGTCTTTAATAATCAACAGAAATGTTCTTGATTTACGTCAATAAATCTTAATGCGTATGTGCCTGATTTTTACACCATGTGGCACGTATTAAATTCGCTTTGGTATCAACCCTTATTTATCCTGTGTTTTATTCCACATACAGTAATGTCTGACTGAAATTTCCGTAGTCAATTTCAGAATTACGTTTTCTTTTTGATATCTAAACCATCGGCCCGTTAAATCGGGCGCCCCTATTAATAGAGCGCGTCTAAACCATCGGCCCGTTAGGGTCGTGCGCCCTATTAACCGTGAGTCGCCGCTCAACTGGGGCGCGATTCTGTGTAACTATAAAATCAGAGAAGATAGAGTATAAGGTAGGGATTTGATTTTGATATGCGGGTGATGGAATTAAGCTTTTTTGTGATTTTCGGGTTTTGGGTTTTATTTAAAAAAAAATTTTTTTATTTGGGTTTTTTTTTTCGATTTTAATTTGGGGTTTTATTTTTTTTTTCGGGATTTGGGTTTTTAGAATTTTTTTTTTGGATCCTGTTTTTCGGTTTCGGGTTTCGGATCTTTTTTTTTCGAGTTTATTTGTTTTGAGAGTTTTGGGTCGTGTCTTCGGATCTTTTTTCGAGTCTCAAGTCATTTTTTATTTTTTTTTTCGGGTTTCCGGTATTTTTTTTTAAAAATATATTTTTTTGATTTCGGGTCTTTTTTTCGGAATTTATATAGTTTTTTGGGGGTTTTTAATTTTTAGTTTTTTAATTATATTACAATAGTTTAAATTATTAAATTATTATGTCATTATATTACTGTATATTTTCGAAAATAAGCACTCCCGAAAATAAGCATTTTACCTTTTTGATTATATCCAAAAATAAGCAAATCCATTTTATAAGTATGATTTCTGATCTTTGATTGATCAAGTATTTCATTTTGTTTATATAACTAGTTCCTTGTTTGCTATTTTGAATATACAATATACTGTATGTTCAATATATAATAATAGGCTAAACATTCTATTTGTTTTTAAATAATGTCTATTTATTAAAAATGCTTTAATTAAAGGAGAAACTTCTTATTTAAAAAGGGTTAAAATATGAAAGCATGAAAAATTAAGATCTGTAAATTCAAGAAAAAAAAATAAGAAAATTCATATTTGTAACTGAAGAAGTATGAAAAAGCTACTTGAAACAATAATTGTTGAAATGTCAAAAGTTAAAATCTAAATATAAACTGTTGACAACTATTGTTAACCATCAATGCAGGTTCTTATGTTTGGTCATGGGATTATATACTATTGCTGCTTATGGTATGTGAAATTTTTTTTCTTCTTTTACAAAATGATTAAAAATTTAAATTTACTTGTGAATGATCTTGACAGTGAAGCATCATAAGAGTGATTAAGAGTCATCTCATTATTACATTGACATGCTTCAATTTTATCTTTCATACTTCTGTTTTTCACAATACACACCAAATGAATTGCTTTATGGTCGTGCCAGATTTCTCTATGCCTAAAAGTTTTTCTCTAACATATTTGAACCATTATAGCTAGCTATTTGAACAGTAAAACAGCAGATTGATATGATTATAGATAGGATTGCCTCATGTATTAAGACAATGAAAATAATCAAAGAAGAAATTTGTATTAATCTTTGTTCAATATTTTGTGTGTTTGAATAGTGATACCAATAGTGGAAGAAATTTGTGAATCTAAAATAATATACATCTGTGGGTTTTAGAGATTATGGAGAAGAGTTAATATTAGAGGTAAGTAACCAAAAGAGTATGCAGTATAGAAGTTTGTAAATGGACTGAGAAGAAGAATATTGTCAGCATCTATTGTTAAAAATGCAGCCACCTTATCGAATTAATTGTTGCTGTATTAATAGTTGAGATAAGAAGATCACGTTCAAGAATTAGTCTGACAGAAACAAGAAAAAAAGGAGTTAAGAAAAAAGAAGATAATGAAATAACAATGAAACCAATAAACTCCAAACTTACCTTGGCAAAAACGAAAAGAAAATCAAGACTACATTAAGATTGATCAAAACCTAATTTTCCCATTAAAGAAGACAATAAAATAATCTATCCTGGACCAATAACAAAACCTTATGTAATGATGAAGAGAGATAAAATAATGAGGAAGATTCTGATGATAAATATTAATAATGGACGATAGGTTATATTAACTATAGGTCAACTGAGAAAATGTCACTGTGATGAAAAAACAAACAATTAATAAAAAGATAAACCAAAAATAACTGGAAAGAAATAGCATTAGCTTAAAAGAATAATGTTAAATAATATGAGCATTAAAATAACAAATGAAATTAGGCTGAACAAGAAATATACTATCACCAAAAAAGTGATACTGCCATTAGAAGAGAAAGAAGACAAAAAAAAAATTTACAAAATGTGAAACTAAAGAAGACTTGAAAGGAATATGTGATGAGAAGGAAAGGCCAATCTCGATTGGTGTAAAAATAAAAAAAGAATGAGAAAGAGAAAGTAGAAGCAAGTGAAAAGAAAAGATACATTACAGATAAGCCAAAACTAATTCACTTCAATAAATTATTTCATTGCATATATATATACTGTAGTTATTTATTCATATTTTATTGATTTTTGTATCTATATGCTAATAAAACTTTATTTAAAAAAGTGGATATTAAAAGAACTAATACATCTACTTAAAAAAAAAAGTAAACGCAAAAATATTTACTTAAAAAAAAATTATAGATAACTAATAATCAACAATTATTCCAATTATTTATTTAAATTT